GTTATTTTTTAAAATTTTTTATTTTTTTAAATGGTCTGCTATGCAGTTCAGGCTGGCCTTGAGCTCACTTTGTAGCCCAGGCCGGTCTTGAACTCACAACAGTTCTCCTGCCTCAGCCTCCTAAGTGCTGGGATTACAGGTATGCACCACTACACCCGGCAAAATAAATTTTTAAAGGCTATGTTGAATAATTACGTTGAACTTCAGTGATTTTCAACCTTCTGGTTCTGTAGATAATTCTTTTTCTTTGAATTGACAACATATTTATTGCTAAGTATCTGTGCAAGTTAAATTATTCACTGTGGTCATTTGGGACTCCTTAACTTTTAGAAATGAAAGCTATGTATTTCTTTTGTGTGACAAAAAATGCTGTTTTGTTTCTTTAATTTAGAATTGATCTGTCCTATTAGTCATGCAGTGACTAAAATTACTTGGTGCTTCACAACATTTTTGTAGTCCCCACTGGATTTCTTTTAGGAAAAACTAACTGTGGTGGGTGTGGTGATACATAGGAACCACTCCTATCCCCTGGAAAGTTGGCAAAGGTGCTTTATCTTAATTAAGTCCAACAGGAGTAAATCAGTACCCATAAGAGTAATGCTATTCTTACTTCCCCGTGGCTAATCCTGAGTTCTCTTTTTCTCTATATGGCTTCCTAGGTACACAAATATGAGAACTGCCTGCTATAATCACTGGGCATCCCACAGCCCTAAGCTGCTTAACAATAGAATCAAAGACTGCTGAGAATTGTGAAGACTCAGAAACCTTGGAATCCAGTTCTTTCATGTTGCAGATGCAAAAACAGAGGCCTCCCATAACCCTAAGTGATTTTAGAGTTACTCCTGTAGTTACTGGCAGAACTGGGGCCCCACCTATTTTCTCCATCCCAGTTCTCTTTCCATATACTACTGGTCAAGTTTTCTTGATAAGATAAATGAGTTCTGAACCAGTCTGTCTCCTGGCACTGTTTGTCTTTCTAATGCTTTTTCCACTTAGGGATGTATGTGTGTGTGTGTGTGTGTGTCTCTGTGTGTAACTTCTTTATTCGCTCTGACTCATAACTGAAATGTGACAAAAACTACTCTGCATGCTATACCACCATTTATAGAAACCACTTTTTTTTAGAAACCACTTGTTTTTAAATGGCAGCCTGCTCTATGCAGTGTAAATTTTGACCCTGAATATTAAGTTAAAGATTTTTTTTCAAGTTGGATCATTTATGTACTGCAAAAAATACAACTTTTTAAAAAATCTTTTTAAAAACAATGCTTACAAAACTGTGGGATGTTTGTTTAAGCTGGGTTTAACTTGGAACCTAAACATGAAAATAAAATAATTTTGTATTCCAGCTTTTGGGTGTGATTTTAACTGTGACCAGGATTTAGACCTTTTTTGTGTGTGATGAGTTTTGTCAGTCTTAAAAATAATCTTAAGGTATAAAGATTATATGAACAATAACTTCATCTAAGTTTCATTTAGGAAGTGAATCTGTATCTGAAAGTGTCTTCATAAAGGTAGTCACTTTTATATGAAAAGTGAAAAGGGTGTGCACATTAATTTTGGCTTGTCAAAAAGTCCTCTTTGGGGTTTGTTAGACTTTAAGTCATGTCAGGAAACCAGTCTCATTACAGTATAGTCATAATTTTCTTACAGTCTGACCTACCTGTTGATAGCAAGCATGATGTTGATCAGTGTTTTAAAAAATCAAGCTGTATAATTTA